GACTTTATTCTCGTAATGTTACGACTTTATTCTCGTAATGTTACGACTTTATTCTCGTAATGTTACGACTTTAGTTTCGAAATAGAAGTAAAAAATCTCTTGCGTGTCCCTGATACTGTACTGTACTGTGACTACACCATATATTGTTCTAAGCCACTAAGAGAATAATTCCACACCAAGCACGGCTGATCATTCAACTTTCTACTGCTTCTTCTCAGGCTGCTGCTTCTCTACTGTTTTCGTGAACTTCTGGATGTCCTCAGCCATCAGCTGGGGCTCTTCCATGGCGGCAAAATGGCCGCCGCGCTGCATGGGAGAAAAGCTGATGAGGTTGTGGTATTTCTGTTGGACCCACAGCTTGGGCGTGTGCATCAGCTCGTTGGGGAAGCAGGCGAAGCCGGTGGGGACGTAGACCGGTATCCTGGGAAGACAACGAAACAACGTCATCTGTTAAGCAATACGAAAGAAGCATTGAAAGCTTTAACGCATTAGCTTTCCATGATGGGTTAGCACTCACTTAGCATGGGGCGCATCCAGACCTCTGCTAAAGTTTTCCTTGTAGAACCTCATTGAAGAAATGATGCAGCCTGAAGTCCAGTAGATCATAATGTTGGTGAGCAGGTCGTCCAGAGAGAACTTCCTGTAAGCCATCGATTGGGGTAGAAAGTCAACCATCGCTGTCTTTTATGTTAGCTTTTCCTTTTCTTCAGTTAGCAGTGAGCTAGGAATCTTTTTCCATTTCAGAAGTTCTATAGATTTCATGATGTTTCATGAGGATATTGCTACAAGTTTACCTCCTCCTGCCCAGTAAGTGACGTACTGACTCACCAGCTCTAGTTCTATACTGTTTCTTTCTCCAGCTGCCCCGTAGACAGCTGGAGAAACAACAGAGACAAACATGACAAACAACCATTCACACACACACTCACACCTATGGAGAATTCAGAGAAGCCAATTAACCTAACAGTCATGTTTTTGGACTGTGGGAGGAAGCTGGAGTGCCTGGTGAGAACCCAAGCATGCTCAGGGATAACATGCAAACAGAACGTGCAGAAAGACCCCGGGCTGGGAATCAAACCCAGAACTTTCTTGCTGCAAGGCAGCATTGCTACCCACTGTTCCACTGTGTAGTTCAGTACTCTTTTAAATAGGCAAAGAAAAAAAGTTATTTTATTCTTTTATATAAAGTACAATGGAGCGTGACCTAGGGCTGTTTAGCAGCCCTACAGTTAGCATGTTTAGCTGTTAGCAGTTTGCATGTTCTCCCTGAGCATGTATTGGTTCTCTCCGGGTACTCTAGCTAAATTCTCCTTAGGTGTGTGTGAATGGTTGTTTGTCTCTGTGTTGCTCAGCAATGGACTGGCGACCTGTCCAGGTTGAACCCCACCTCTCGTCCGTAGACAGTTGGAGATAGGCACCAGCACCCTTCGCAACCCCAGCTAGGATAAAGCATGACGGAAAATGGATGGATGGATACTAAACTACAATGTCTGAAAGTTTAATCATTTATTTTATCAAAGAATAAATGGATTTACATTCTGTTTTATTACTCATATGTAGGGTTGTCAAAAGTATCGATACTGAAAAGTTGTATCCGGATACAATACTAATCTTCAAAAGTATCGATACAGTGCTACCACCAGTGCTACCATTTAT